TCTCAAAATAAATAAAACAATGAAACTTGGGAGAGAGAAGTCACAAAATTGAGTCGAGGTTGATAACTGCTGCTTCGTTCCTCCTCCGAGGATGTGCAGATTTACGGCGATTATGGTGTGTTGCGTGGGTGGTAATGGAGGCTTGATGGAATTGGTTTTGGAGTTGGAGGAGGGCTGCATGAGAAGTGGCTGGTGGAAGGAGGTGAAAATTGCAGTGGTTCGGTGGTGATGACGAGCTGTGGTTGCATGGGAGTGGAGGAGAGGTGATGGAGCGGCGGTGATAGGATGATGAAGATTAAGGTGGTGAAGATGGTGGAGGTCGGCGGGTGGGAAGCAGAGTGGTGTGATGGTGATGATGATGTGTGTAAGGTGGAGAAGAGAAAGCTACCGCCGGGTTTTCGTTTCGGTAGAGGTTCGGTCAAGTTCGGTGATAAAAATAAAACACTAATCCTCCTTTTATAGGATTCTGTCAAACCCTACTTCATGGAGAGGAAGAAAACCTGTTTTCCCAAATAATATTGGGATTAAAATTCTTATACAATTTCAACTCCAATTAGCCGCACCACCTTTGTTTCGGCCAAATCATAAGAAGAAACACAAAAATTGCAATTCAGTCCTCTAATTCTTCAAGTCTTCTTATTCCTTCCTCATTAGTTCTTACAATCTTCACTTAGGCCCTTTTTAGTTGCTCTTTCTTTTCAATTTAGTCCAACACCTCAACAATTCTTCTATTTGAGTACAATTCCTACAATCAAAGATAAAATCATATAAATAGCATATTTGTACTCAAAACATTGGCAAAATCTCGCATAAAGAGATATTAAAAATAGATAAATTATGAGCACATAAAAGATGGACATAAGTAGTTGTCCTGGATTAGCCAAATCCGAGAGAACTAGGCAGTCGGATTACGCAAATCCGAGAGGACATGCTCTCAGATTTGGCTAATCTGAAACATTAGTCACTTGAAATTAATTAAATTAAACCAAATAATTAATTAAAATTAATCAAAACTCAGATTTGTGAAATCCGAATGCTTTCAATTAAAAAATTTTTTTATTGAGGTCTTGCATTAAAGTCTTGAGCCCCTTGATTACTCCAAGAAAAGTTTGGATGATTTCGCCACCCAGGATTATATGTGTTGGAGTACGGATTATTCTGTTGCTGAGGCTAGCTGAAATTAGAGACATATTGTGCACTTGCTAGTTGCATACATTCAGAGCTCAAATGAGGACCTCCACAAAACTCACAGACAATGGTATGGTATACTGCATTAGCATTGACAAAATTACCCATCGCCTTGGTCAGTGCATCTATCTTTGCGTTCATGGCACTAAGTTCATTGATTTCTTACATTCCAACAGGCTTCTTGGAAACGCTTCTCGAGTTCGACCATTGATTCCGGTTCTTTGTCATAATTTGAAACAATTCATAGGCTTCATCAATTGACTTATCCATCAATGAACCTCCAGCTGCAGCATCCACATTGTTTCTTGCAAAGTCTGTCAATCCTTGATAAAAAGTCTGAACTAGAGTACTTTTCTCAATACCATGGTGAGGATATCTTCTTTGGAATTCCTTAAATCTTGTCCATGCAGCATGAAATGTCTCATCATCTTCTTGAATGAACCCAGTAATTTGATTTCTCAATTTCGCTGCCTTATCTGGTGGGAAAAAATTGATCAGGAACTCCTTGTACAGATCATCCCAAGTTGTGATGGAACCAGGATCGCAAGTATTCAACCAATTCTTTGCTTCCTCCCTCAGCGAGAAAGGAAAAAGTCTCAGCCGGATTGCATCTGACGTCACACCATTTATCTTAACACTATCACAGATCTCTAAAAAGTTGTCAATATGCGCATTTGGATCCTCATTGTTAAAACTAGAGAATTGATTCTGCTGCACCATCTGGATCAATGCGGGCTTGAGCTCAAAGGTATTCGCAGCAATGGTAGGCCTAGTAATACTTGACCTAGCAACATTCTCCGTTGCTGTGAAGTAATCCCTCAGTGTCCGAGTGTTTACTCTATCGCCCATGGTTTCACTCTGATTCTTCTCCTTTCTTAGTTTTGCTTCTTTTCTGTTTGCATGAGCTGTTCTCTCAATCTCTGAATTAGCACTTCGCATATAAAAACAAGACAAAAATATTTGAAAGAAATAACTAAAATAGCAAGAAAAAAAAATACAATAACAACAAATCTAAACTAATAAAAGAAAGTAATCTGAATTCAATATTAGCTGCCCTTCTCGACAACGGCGCCAAATTTGACAAGCCGCCGTCACACTAGTCAAATATTAATTACCTACTTAATACAATGAGTAGTAGTAAAGTAGCAAGCAGGGTCGATCCCACAGAGAAGGTTATTAAGTACTGGTTAAAACTATTCATTATTATTATTTAGATTAATAATTTATCAATTTTAAACTATTCTAAACCTAAAACTAACAATTGTAATTATTTAAAGATATAAATAAGTAAAAGAAAAACCTAGGGCAAAGGGTTCACCAACCGACTATTCAGTTTAATTTAATCTATAAATATGTGACTTTCGACTCTCATTAATCTCACGACAATTCACCAATTTAACAATTATACACTCTCGTGTCATAACCTTCTTACTTAAACTAACCGTATGACTACTCTCGTGACTATAGGGATTAATAATAGCACATTAAGAACTTTGGAATTACTAGTCGCAAAGGCGGTGTTCCTACTCTCGTGGCTCACTACCAAAGTTTATTATTCCTACAAACTAATACTAGCCTTCCACTCTCGCTAGTTCAGCTAGCACCTTAAAGCATGCAAATATTGATCAAGTATTCACATGGATGAAAAACAAGAATAATAAATATTAATTAAAGGAAAAGTTACAATCATAACTCAAATTAAATTAAATAGTACGGCGGCTATATCCAAAACCCTAGATTAAATAATTTAGCTACACATCATCTCAAAAATAAATAAAACAATGAAACCCGGGAGAGAGAAGTCGCAAAATCGAGTCGAGGTTGATAAACTGTTGCTTCGTTCCTCCTCCGATGATGTGCAGATTTACGGTGATTATGGTGTGTTGCGTGGGTGGTAATGGAGGTTTGATGGAGTTAGTTTTGGAGTTGGGGGAGGGCTGCGTGAGAAGGGGCTGGTGGAAGGAGGTGAAAATTGCAGTGGTTCGGTGGTGATGACAAGCTGTGGTTGCGTGGGAGTGGAGGATGATGATGATTAAGGTGGTGAAGATGGTGGAGGTTCGGTCAAGTTCGGTGATAAAAATAAAACCCTAATCCTCCTTTTATAAGCTTCCGTCAAACCCTACTTCTTTAAGAAGAAGAAAACTTGTTTCCCCAAATAATATTGGGATTAAAATTATTACGCAATTTCAACTCCAATTAGCCGCACCACCTTTGTTTCGGCCCAATCACAAGAAGAAACACAAAAATTGCAATTCAGTCCTCTAAATTTTTAAGTCTTTTGATTCCTTCCTCATTAGTTCTTACAATCTTCACTTATGCCCTTTTTAGTTGCTCTTTCTTTTCAATTTAGTCCAACACCTCAATAATTCTGCTATTTGAGTATAATTCCTACAATCAAAGATGAAATCATATAAATAGCATATTTGTACTCAAAATATTGGCAAAATCTCGTATAAAGGCATATTAAAAATAGATGAATTATGAGCACATAAAAGATGGACATAAGTAGTTGTCCCGGATTAGCCAAATCCGAGAGAACTAAGCAGTCGGATTACGCAAATCCGAGAGGACGTGCTCTCAGATTTGGCTAATCTGAAACATTAGTCACTTGAAATTAATTAAACTAAACCAAATAATTAATTAAAATGAATCAAACCTCAGATTTGCGAAATCCGAATGCTTTCAATAAAAAAAAAAATTTATTTTGGGAAAAAAATCTAAGGGTTCAAAAATTAATGTTAACTAGAATTGGATCACCCAAATCCAAAACAACGTGTTTCGAATTTCGGTAATCCGAAGTATAGAATAAAATATCATTTTAAATTTCGAAAAAAATAATCTAAGTGTTAAAATAGAGAGGAAGAGTCTCGGATTACTGAAATTCGAGAGTCCACTGATTCTGCAGACCTCTCAGATTTCGCAAATCCGAAAGCCTCAAAATGGTAACTTTCGGATTTCGTAAATCCAAAACATACCAGAAACCTGAAAAAATAATACTGGACTGGTTTTCACCAGTCCTAACATTGTTAAACAGCACCAACAACCAATTCATAACAAACTAATTGAACAACAAAACGATAACATTTTCATAATAAAATAATCTAAAATTCATAACTTACAATCCAAATCATCCAAAATTCTAAAAAAGACTAATCTACAATCATTTTTTCCTCTCCTAGAAATAGTGGGCGGGGTAAAGGTAATAGGCGGGTTGCGCGGCCTGTCAGATTTGTGAACCCCTTATTCCTGTAGCTCTGGACGGATTGTAAAAATTGGCTAAACGCTTAGGACTTGCAAGTCTCCTCCTAGAGTAATGGTGACATGTATCTCTTCTTCATGTGGTGTGAGATCCTCTCGAAAACCAACATCGTCATCTCTTCTCACATTGTCTCCTGCCATTTCTTCCCCTCCTCCCACATTCCACCACTGCGATGATAAGACAATTATCACACTTTTTGCAACCTATTTTCAATATCCCCTCGAACTCGGTGCTTGCCATAAGGGTTCATACCTGCGGAGGGGTAAAATCATTATAGTAGCACTCCTAAAACTTATAATCAAACCGACAACCTTTTAAAGGTTCGATTTTGATCAATGAATCGGAGCCATGGTAGACTGCTAAACTCCGATGTTTAGCTTGAAGATACAAATGTTCCCTCGTATGGGACTGGGTTGAAGAAACCCACTCACTATATTGTGGACTGGGTGAATCCTCCATCAAAGACTACACCACAACAAAAAAAAAAGAAACAAAAAAAAATCACTTAAACAACACTATATAGACTATACTTGTTTAACAACACTATATAAACAAACCAATTACATCCTAAACTCAACAAACACAATTACAACTATAAACAATTCTACAATTTCAACAATTTAAACAATTCCAACAAAAAATCACTTAAACAACACTTATCTACTATACATACATACTTTTGGATTTACAAACTCCAACATATTAGGGAGGAAAAAAATACTAACCACCCACAAATCAATAAAACGAATGCGCAATCCAAACAGTGGAGGGGTGGTGTTGGTGGTGTTCACGGAGGTGGTGGTGGTGTTCGCGGAGGTCTGGCAGTGGAGAGCTGTTTTATGGTCAAGGAGGGTGGCGGAGGGAGTGGTGGAAACCGGCAGTTATGGGGGAACGGCGGCGGAGGAACGGATTTGACCTGGAGTAGCAGAAGGAGTGGTGGAGACCGGAGGTGTTACGGTGGGGTTATGGCAAAAGGGGGGACTGAAAATGAATTGAGGGAAAAAGGTCAACCACTTTTATGACCTCGCTTGACTCGGATTTGGCAAATCTCTGCCCTTTTCTCTGATTTTTTGATGGCACAGAGAAACATGCCAGACTTAGATTTGGCAAATCGTCCAATTGCCATTAAAAAATTAACTTTTTATTAAAATTTCCAAACTTTTTGCTCATCGACATTGGGAATCAATACTTAACTATGCCGCTTTGCTAATGGCATTTTTATGGTTGACTCCCAAGCAACCACAACATATGTGTTGTTGATTCATCACCCATCTATTACTTCTCTTAGACGATGCAAAGAGGCAAAGAGTGAAATCAAATCAAGTAGAAGTTCGTCCGATTCTAGTTGCCCCATGTAAGATCCCGATCCAAGTTTCTCAATTACAATTCTTGCACCTCATTAACTTTCATGTTGTTTTGTGATTCATCTTGGCTTATTCTTTGTTTGGTGGATGTTTCTACATATTGCATGAATATTCTTGATAGTTGAGACCCCCATAGTTGAATTGAGATTAAAGACAATTTATTGTAGGATTGATTCTCAGATAATATTAATACCTCAGCAACAGAGCAAACGTTTGATTTACTTGCTTCTTAGCTCAGATAACTCAGCTTCTGCATGTAAAGACTGCAGATTTGATAATTAAATATGGTTGCCACCGTGAAACTTCTCTTTGAAAAGACATTTTCCTTTGCCACAGATTGGAAGAGTCTTTGGATTAAGCAAAGATTTGGAAAGGCTGCGACGATTTGCTGGGATGAGTATTTTGGATAATGCTGAGGATAAGCAAAGCCAAAATCAACCTGTAAAAATTTGGCTCAAGTGGCTTGAGGAGCTTGCTTATGAGGCTAATGATGTTTTGGAGGAGTTGAACTACGAAATTCTTAGTCTTGAGGTGAAATCCAGCGACCAATGTCAGGGGAAAATGCGCTCTCTCTTCTTCTTCCATCAACCTTGTCATAGTGTTTCTTTTCGCCGGAGAATGGCTCGTAAGGTTCGCGATATTATCATCAAGTTGGAAGACATCAATCTCCGAGGCATTGAATTCGGATTGCAGCAGAGACTGGCATCTTCATTGCTTTCAACTACTGCTGTTGGAGACTCCATAAGTCGAGAGACCGACTCTGTTGTTGCTCTTCGTGTTGTTGGAAGACATGATGATTTGTTTAAAGTAACAGATATGTTGTTATTGAATTCTTCTGACAATATTCTTTCTGTTCTTCCCATTATTGGTATGGGAGGATTGGGGAAAACAACTCTGGCTAAACTAGACTCTTCAACCATGAACAAATCCAAGACCACTTTGATGGAAAAATTTGGGTTTGTGTGTCAGATAAGAGATTTGATGGGAGGAGAGTTTTCAGGTTGATATTGGTACAACTTGGAGAAAGTGTTCAACCTGACACTATGAGGAAGCTATTGTGTTCAAGCCATTTGGAAAAAAGGTGAGGGGAAAAGATGTCTCTTAGTTTTGGATGATGTGTGGAATGAAGATTCACAATATGGTATAACCTCAGCACAATCAATGAAAGAAGCTGGTGTCTTGTTGTGACCCGTAGAGTGTCAACAGGCATTGTGGGTACACACTGTCAGTATCGATTAGGAAAACTACCGGATTGGTTGTGGGTCGATCTTGAAAGAAAAGGTAGCTGCAAGTGGAGAAGTATCAGAGGAGTTAAACTGTGATAAAGGATCAAGTTACAAAACCATGTGGTGGTCTACTGTTTGGTGCCAAAGTGCTTGAGAGTTTACTTTGTATGCAGAAAAAAGGAGTGTTATTGTGGAGAGAAAACTTTCACAACTTGTTGGAAACCATCAAAGTAATGCTATGAAGATATTGAATCTGAGTTTTGGTTATTTGCCATCTCCATTCCTCAAGAAATGTTTTAACTATTTTTCAGGAGGATGCCTGCAGAGGGGTTTCTTCTGCCAGGGTTCGGAAGTGAGACAATGACGGAAAAATTAGGCCATCAGTATCTCACAATTTAGTACAAGGTTCCTCGTTGGCAAATTCAAATGCATGGGTTACCTTGATCTTTTCGGGCTGGAAATGATAACCTTGCCCGAGTCTCTTTGGAAGCTCTATAATTTACTGACACTAAAGATAGGTCTAGGTAGATCTTTGAAGGCTCTTCCTAAAGGGATGAGCAAGTTGATAAATTCAAGGCATCCTGAGTATCTCAATAAAAGGATCCCAAATTTCCGATGCCGATTGTATTCAGACACTAACTTTCTTCAACATAGGAGAAGGGAAAGGTCGTGTATAAAAGAAATTGGTTGCTCTTCAAGGAAGGATTTTCTGTACACAATCTTCGTCTAGTGAACCGGAGGAAGCCTTACAAGCAAAATTGGGTAGTGTAGCAGTTCCATTGGGGAAGCAAGGACGACCGTGAAGGCATGCATATCTGCGATGAAGTTGTGTTGGAAGGTCTTAAAACCCCATATGAAATGGTGACAGTTATCAATTACAAGTTTTATGGGTGAAAATTTGACTATGGTTTGATAATTTGTCAATGCTGGTTAGATTGATTTTGGAAGATTACAAGTGTTGAATAGGGCTTGGTGACCTTCCATGTCTTGAAGATCTTGAACTTTCAGGACTAGAAAATCTAAGTTACATTGAGGCTTCATTCAACGGCCTCCCTGATGGAACAACAGGATCCACAAAGTCACTATCAGGAAGAAAATTGTTCTTTAACATACAGAATTTGTTGGAATGGAAGGAAGCAGAAGTAGCTGCAGAAGAAGCTTCCATTGATGGTAACATTGTCTTTCCTATGCTTGAGAAATTGATGATTCATGGTTGGTCGTTAGATCACCACTCCAACTCACTTTGCAAACCTGAGGAATTTGTGCATTAGTAGTAATGACCGTGCACAGACTGCGAGGAACATCCTTAGCAAAGTAACTGGAGCATTTAGGCTTACAATAGTAGAAATGGATGGACTTGCTTCTGTTTCAGGATTAGCAGTCCCAACATAGGCAGGAATCCAAATTAAAAACATTTAGTTTTGCAAAGTTTTCTGAGTGTGACACGCTTATGGGGTTTTGGTACTTCTCTTCAGGAATTGTGCCTATCGGATTGTGACAATCTATCGCCAATTGCAGTCTATACGCTCTCTCGTGGCAGTGAGGTGCTCAGGAATTCTAAAGATAGGTCCATCTGATTCTACTACGATTTGAATTGAACTGTCCTATATTGTTTGATAACAACCAAAGGATTTGGTCATCTAACAAGCTTGTGTAATTTAAGAATTGGACCTGGAGCTCTTTGGGTTGCCTGACTTGGAGTCTCCATTTCCTTTTTCAGATCAACACTTGACTTCATTGACTTCTTTCAATCTCGAGAGCTTTGTATTATTAGAAGCTTTACGGATTAGTTGCGGAGCGTGAAATCTGTTGAAAACTAGAGGTATGGAATTGCCCCAAACTTCAACATTTGCCCTTGGCGCCTACCATAAGCCTCCTCACCAGATTACAAAACCTGGGAGTTAATATTTTTCCTCTTTTGAAGGAAAGTTTAAGAGCAGAGAGATCCTCAGACTCGGAATTGTTCAAGATAAAATCTCATATTCCAGGCATTACATTGATGGAATACACATACATGAGGTGTAGCTAGAATTTTGTGACAGTTTCTGCTTAGTCCTGTCTGGTTTCAATGCAGTTTAGGTTACAGTTATATCAGAAGATTTTGATCAACTTCTGAAACATTTCTTGATGTATGATGAGTTTTCATACCTTTAAATTCGTAGATGATAAAAATCTTTATTTCACTGGTCATGTATATTACTGGTTGTTTATAAGTTCAAATTTCTATCTCATATATTGGAAAATGTTCTGATCTCTGGTGACTTAATTCCAAAGCTTTTCCTAGAAATGGAAGGAGTTGGTGATTGTGACCCTTTGGCCGTTACTCATACTATAAGAGACCATGTACCTTGTTTTGGAAGAGTAAGTAATAAGCCAGAAAAACGCTGATTGGAAAAGACCATAAAAGGGTAAACTCTAGCTTACTTCAACACAGTTCTAAGAAACTTAACCCAAACTTTTTACTGCACAGCCCTTCTAATTTTTTATCTGAGATCATCATTTTGACGATGTTCAATACGAACTAGCAACAATTTTAGTTTGGAAGACTAGAAAAACCCTAGAAAATAAAGATTCCATCTAAAATGCAGAGTTCCCAACTGTTATCCATTAGCAAATCCCTATCCATGACTACAGTTTTATGTTTGAGGGCAGTTCTGCAGCAAAAGTGTGAGGAGGAGACAATCCAACATCCATTTCTGGTGAGAGAATCCTCAAAATGACTATTGAGATGGTCATCACTAGTATAGCGAGTTTGTCTTCTTGTAATACATGCTTACAATACATTATAGCAGACACCAGATGAGCAGAAAACAAGTCACTATGAAAAATATATAAACCTTACTGGATGGTCGAAACGGCCATGAGTATATACTACTATACAGTGACATTGCACTAATCATAATCATCTAGTGCAATACAATCAGGAATCAACTATTATAAGATGATGTTTTCTGTACATTGGAACAAATCCAAAGAAGCCCGAAACAATGTAGTGTCGGTACATTGGCCAACTGCTCTAATAAACTCCTCTAGCTTTTTCCCTTCACAAACTACACGGAAAACTATACCAGAAAAACAAAATAGGAAATAAAAAAGAAATATACATCTACTATCTAAGGAAAATGTAAAACGATCAAGTAAAAGACGTGCGCTCCTTCCTTGACCTTCCTTTTACGACACTTCGAAACTGTGACTTGACTAAAGAGACTATCCTTTCCCAAAAAGAAGCTTTGGATCCATAGAAATTAACAGTGGCTAATCTTTTTGAACCTTCTCTAACAAATTCTGTGTCTATCACAAAATCAAGGAGAAAATTTTCCGGGCTATCAAGCAATGGCAGTGCAACTGAGCCTTGAGACTCCACATTTCTGATCCACCCCCGTAACAAAAAATTCACAACCTGTACCACAAGATTCGAAGTAGATTATGTAGTCTGTATTCAACTGTAACGCCCACAACCACAAGTCCAGTATAAAACTAAACTTCACTTCATACCTCTGGAATTTCATCATGAGGGCAGTGACCAGCAGGGCTGATCTCATAATACGGAGCTTCGGGCAGTTGGCGCTTCACTTGTAAACCCCAGATAGGCTTTACCCAAGGGTCTTCTTTCCCGTACATGAGACAGATGGGTATGTCACTCATTTTACACCTAGAATAATATATTAGATTGTAAATCCTCGGCCAAACTTATGTTGAAACAGATAGAATATTACAAATTCATTACATTCTTTCAGAACTTCTCCATTAAGTACCTAGATAAAGCCTCCTCGAAAGTTAATTGTCCCCGGGGAGCAAACATAATTGAGGCAAATGATGCAGCAGCAGCTGGGTGCTTTGTAACATCGACTATACTGGAGAAGACCTTGTCAACTTTCGTTGAGTGGTCCGCATACACCTGCTTAAGTATCTCAGCAATACTCTCAGGATCACTGATTTTCTGCCATCTAAAGGCACAAAGAAAACGAGGAAATACATCAACTTATACAGCAGGTAAACCCAATTGACAGCACTTCTTGAAAGGAACACAATTTCTCTCTTTCAATCTAAGAATAAATGAGTAAAAGTATCTACAGAAACCAGAAGGCCTTTATTCACATTAAACAGATTGATACAGGGAATCCTTACTTTCCAAAGCATCCCCATTTGTAAAGAAAGGGTTCAAAAAAGAAACTCGAGGGGGAAAAGGCATCAATTTGAAATGAAATACTAAGGATTACGAGAAAACTTACACAATTTCTGTAATATTTTTAACCCTGGAAGGAATGGGGAATGTCCCGGCCCAAGGAAGCATTTTTGACAATCTTGGAGATGTTACAGGATTAGGAAGAAATCCCCAGAAAGGGGTCGCATTGAGCAAAGTTACACCCTTCACCAATTCAGGGTGGCATGCGGCAAAGTAGACAGCAATATAGCCTCCAAGTGAGTTTCCAACGAGATAAACAGGTTCCCTGATGACCTGTTGCATGAAGAGACAAATTTTTACACTCAGGTTCATGCTTAAGAGTTACAAACACTGAGATAAATATTTAATCTCTGGCGCTCTCCCGTGAACACAACTACCAAGAGAGTATCACTTTCAGATTAGCAAAAGAGACATGGAAGAAAATCTGGCAGCAGAAATAAATTCTTTAAACACGACATCAATAGTATAAGTTTCACTTAATTAAGCTACAAAATCATTGCTTGCTTACTCATCAAGTTAAATGATTAACCCGTCTTAGCTTGATATGAAACACTGATTACTGGATCCTTCTGAAAATGATAAGTTGATCCTCCAAATTAGCCCCCTTTTAGTTACCCAGAAAAGAAACCTTAAACTCATTCCAGTTATAGAAAAGGTGCATAGATGAAATTGTTTGTCAAGGTTTGAAGATAAAATAGCGGTTAAATGCACACATAGAATAACTGGAAGAAAAAGACCATGGGGGGCTACATATAAGATGAATTGAAATCTTTCACAAATTATTCTGAACCTTTCAATCAACCCCATATTACGTTGGCTGAAAGAACTTCCCCAAAACTGTTCCCACTTGAAAGTGTTTAGCATGGCAACAAGAATCGAATTTAAGACAATAATGGCTCATAACTGCAAAAGTGTACGGGAAATAGTGATAGTCATAAGATAACTTGCTGGGACAAAGTGAGAGATGTCCTCATAATGATGAATATATATTTCCAAATGCCACATCAGTCTAATCTTAGGCACCAACTTGTTGGTAAGTATGACAACTAATTATTCTACATATAGCTAGCTTGAGAATAAAAGAACAGATAGTACTTGAATTAGGCCAAACGATCAGCACGACTACATCAGAATATTAAGCACTCTTTTCTGGTGCACAAAAGTAAATAATTAGAGGGAAAAAACGGAAATTCAAGAAAGAATTTGGATACCTCCTTTACAAAATAACAGACTTGGTCCTTCCACAAGTCGGCAGAATAAACAAGCTCTTTTGCCCAAGGTTCAGTCTCATCTCCAAAACCCCAGAAAGAATTCTCTATGTTTGAATTCGGCTCATTACCATTGTTTGTCTGCCAAGTTGGATCTTCGCGCGGAAGTGACAAGCCTTGACCAAGAAAATCCAGGGCAAATGCTCTATAATCACGTCCAAGATCCTTTAACTGTTTCTCATAGTGAAAGGAGCCGACTCCAAAACCAGGTAGAAATAGAACAGGTGGAGAACCAACATTGTCACATCCTGCTTTTTCATAGTAAACATTCAGTTTTGGTTTCCACTCCCAGGAACAACGTGTAATTTCGGCAACAGATTCTCCCTTGGTTTCATCTGGCAAACTTGGAATCAAGACCTTAGGAGTTGACTGGTCAGTTATACCTTCCTTGCCACCAAGTACATAAGGGTTAACACTTTCACTCAGAACAATAGGATCACCACCATGTTCATATCCTTTAGGAGCTTCAAGTGTTCTAGACTTGTGAATTTTCTCAAGCCTCCTCAACCCAAATCGATTTAAATTGGAACATTGGATATGCTTGAGCTCTGATTGACAAACCAAAGGTATCAACTTTCTTACCCTGAAATTGGGAATTTTTCTGCGGACAGGATTTTGGCAGCTCCCAAGAATATTTCCACTGAATTTTACAACATAATGGCTATATGTAGCATTGCAAACAATAATTTCCATATCCTATTGTTTAATTTCCTGAAATGATAAAACCAGAATGAGTAATCTAGCAAAATTTTACCATAGCCACTTTCCAGTATCCTAATCCCAAGTAGACAGACAAGTAGCTGGAAAGCAAACAACAATCAAACTTCAATTGCTACCACGATTTCTTGCTTGTTTCATGTTGATTATATAAAGATGTGCATGATCTTTCAACCAATCCCAGTAGATAACAAAATCACAAACCAAACACGGAAATAATCTACATGCTGCAGTTTGAAATGACATAAAAATTGACCAAAAAGAGCCGAAGATCAGTTTATTCAAGGGACATACTAAATAACTCAACCCATTCGCATCACAAGCGTATTTCCCAGCAAACAGAGCTAAGGAAAGAAGAACCCATTTCAGGAAACACCAAATCAACTATTTAGAACAAGTGAATTTCAAAATCAAAGTAGCATAACCTCAATTTTCAAGGACGTCAACTGGAACTAAAGAGAGGTAATTACCTTTCAGTGAGCAGAGCTGGAGATCATTGGACAGAGCTCCAAGATTTTCGGAACAAATTCTTAAAACTAACAAATTTTTTATTCGTGTGAGAGGTCGGAAAAGGGTCAGATATTCGACGAGAATCTAGAGAGAGAAAAGAAATGATTTTTATTTTTGGGCAGTTGCTTAAGAACGTTGAGCGTTTTTTCTTCTGTAGCCAAGAATAATTAGGAATTATGTAGCACAAAGCAACAGAAGAGTTGATTGTCGTTTTCTGTTTATTTCCACATTTTTTGTTGCGTTTGATTGTGAAATAAGCTTAACACAAAGAACAAGAAGTGCACGCAAAGGAGACCTGGCTGATTTTGGTGAGTTTTGCTGTATTTGTTTTCACATTCTTTTTCCGGTTTGACTCTTACAAAAATTGAACCAAAAATAAAAAGATTAAAAGACTCTTGGAAAAATATTAAACCACATGTAAATTAATTCTCCTTCTACTCTTAGAAGAATGTTATGACCAATGTCAAATTAGATGTCTATGAAAGAAAATTTTTTTAACGCATAACTAATCATCATTCTTACAATCGCAACAATGTCTTTTCATCATAAACATTCTCTCATTACACTGACAAAAGAAGACGTTTAACAAAATTTTTAATGTTCGAAAGTGAGATTCGCGTTGAAAAAAGTTTGATCGGTACTTAAGCTCCAAGATCATTTGGGACTAATAAGTGTTAGAGGTATATTGTTTCATTTTCAGTTCTCTATAATAAAAAAGGACGATAACTCCAAGATCATGTCGCCGCTTTCGCCTAACCAGAATTTTGTTTTTATTTCGATTTCTCTCCTTATAGTAAGTATTTTACTCCCTCTATTCCAAAATAAGTATCGTTTTAGCAAAATGGAGAAATTCTAAAATAAGTGTCGTTCTCACATTTCAATGCACGTTTTGTCAAAAATTTTCAAAATTACCCTCAAAAGAGTTGATACTATTGGTGGACAATTTTATAATGGGGTTGGTTGAGGATATTCAAGTAATTTTATTACCCTATTTAAGAGTTTCTTAAACTATGTGCAAAGTGTAAGACACACTTATTTTGGAATGGAGGGAGTAATTTTTATGATGTTAATGGTTCTTTGGATTCTGGGTTTTGCTAACAGTAATTCGTGTTTGTTATTTTATGTTATCATTCCTTAATTAAAGGGTTTTTACTGATGTGTAGTGTAATATTCATCAATGACTGTAACAGATCATCCGAAGCTTCTGAAACTTCAGGCTCTAATATGAAACCCTATGTTTTGCCTATCTCAATTGGATGTTGATGAAGCAAAATGGATTTCTGATTCCATCACTATGTGTCCCTTATCATCTGCCATCATACATCTCAATTTGGGAAGAAAACATGGATGAACTATTGATAAACTGGCAGAGAATTAGAAATCAACGTCCTACAATTTGCGAAACTGAATCTCATCTTCCAATTTGGCGTGAAACCCAGGACAAGCATTTTTTGCTCTTCTCTAGCTACGCATTACATAAACACTTATTGATCATATTATATAATTGATGTGTACAAGTGTTGGGTTCCTCAAATTAAATAATTACTGATTATTCCCTCCGTTCCATAATTATTTTACAGTTTAGATTCTCATTTTTAGTACAAATTGTACTAAAAGTAAAATTATAAACTGGATAATAATTTTGGGACAGAGAGAGTAGTTTTTTTTAAAGTAAAACTATAAACTGGATAATAATTTTGGGACAGAGGGAGTAGTTTTTTTTTTCCGTGTGGATGTGTACAAGTTTAGGTTGTTCAAGTTTAGGTTCAAAACAACTGATCGAATTCTTAAGTGCCAAGATTAAACTCCGATAAACTATACTACTGGAATTATAGCTTCTTATGTACATTTCTCTTTCTTTTTTTCTTTTTTTTTTTCCCCCAATTAATCGTCATACTACCTCCGGATCCGTTTCATTAATGTCAATTGAGAATTCAAGTTAGCACTCCACATAACATGTTAAGCTATTTTAAGCTTTGATCATCATCAAATATTTATGCTGCCATTCTCATTGTTTTATTTTTGTTTTATTCAAAGATGGGTGTGGGGAGGAATTTTACAAGCAACCGGTGAAGTGGGAAAAGCCCTAAAGTCATGAAAGGCATGAAGAAGAAAGGATTGACGTTGGTGATTGACTGCATGAAGCCGGTGTGGTATAAGATTATGGAGATTTGCTCCCTGGAGAAGTACATCTAAGAACGCATCAAAGTCGAAAGGCAAGCCTAGTGGGAGTCTCATACCCGTGCAATGTAATAGTTTGAAAACTAAGCCTAGTGGGAGTCTCAGGACTATTAGTGTAGTTGTTGTAAATATTTTTTGTGTCAACCTATAGAAAATGATACATAGGATTTTGTCCTATGTGTCAACGGGAGGAGAAGTTTGATTTCCTCTTTCTGGTTTCTCTCTTAGTATAATACTATAGATTTTAAAAAGTTTAGAATCACTGCAATGATGGAAGAGAGATCAATTGGAGACACGAAAATAATCTAAGAAAAATTAATTGGAGAAAAAGTTTGTCCATTACAAATTTAGATTAAAGATCTCATAAAGAAAACGGGTGCAGTAAAGAATTTAATTACAAATATTTTTCTGAAGGAAGGAAAATGTATAAAGAAATACTTCCTCCATCCGAAAACGATAAATGCAAAAATTATCGAATAAATTTAACGATAGAATGGAGATTACATTAAATGTGGTAATATCTGAATACAAAAAATGCAAAAATTAAAACAAAATAAAAAATTTAAACGGGTAAACAACTGAAAAAGGATAAACTTGACTGTCCATCTTTAATTTAAAAAGTTGAGAATCACTACAGTGATGGAAGAGATATGAATTGGAGACACAAAAATGATCTAAAAAGGATTAACAAAAAAAAAACTTCTTAGTTATACTTTTAGATTAAAGATCTCAGAAATGGGTGTAGTAAATAATTAAATACAAATATGTTTTGATGGCGAGATAATGTATAAGAAATGATTCATCTACCCTAAAACAAAGGTGCAAAAATTAATGAATGAAATTACCGAGTTATATAAAGAATATATATTACATTAAATTAGTAATATTTGAATACAGAATTAGAGAAAGGGGTAAAACCTATTCATAAAATGTATAAATCTGATTGTCCATCTCTAATTTAAAAACTAAAGAATCACTACATTATGGAGGAGAGATCAATTAGAGACACGAAAATGATCTCAGAAATACTTGGATAAAAAACTTCTCCGTTATACTTTTAGATTAAAGATCTGAAAAACGGGTGGAGTAAATGATTTAAATAAAAAAATTTTATGATGGCGAGAGAATATGTAAAGAAATGATTCCTACATCCTAAAATTAATGAATAAATTGAACGAGTGATATAGAGAATGTATATTACATTAATTGAGGCAATACTGAATACAAAACAGGCAAAAAAAATAATTAGAATAAATTAAATGGGTAAAAAGTTCCGATTGTGCATCTTTTGTATTCTTTTGATGGCGGGAGAATGTATAAAGAAAGTTCCGAATTGGCGCATCTTTAATTTAAAAAGTTCCGAATCACTATAATGATAGAAGAGAAATCAAACGGATAGACGAAAATGATTTAAAGAAGATTAATTGGAGAAAAAAAAATCTCCAATATAATTTAGATTAAAGATTTCACAAAACGGGTGTGGTAAAGAATTTAAATTCAAATATTTTTTTTATGGCGGGAGAATGTATAAAGAAAAAATTTCTCAATCCTAAAATGATAGTACAATAAATAATGAATAAACGGGTCGTATAAAGAATAGATATTACATCAAATGCGGTAATATTTGAATACAAAGCTTGAAAATAGCAAATAATAATAATATTAATAATAATAATAATAAATAATAATATTATTATTATTGTTGTTATTATTATTATCATCATCATCATCATCGTCATAAGTGAAACAGGGAAAACAACTGAAAAAGGATAAATATGATTGTCCATCTTTAGGATAAAAAGTTTAAAATCAATACTACAATGATGCAAGAGAGATCAAATGGAGAGACAAAAATGATATATGGAAGATTAGTTGGAGAAAGAAAAATTCTCCAATATATTTTTAGATTAAAAATATCACAAAACGGGTATAGTAAATGATTTAAATATAAATATTTTTTTGATGGTCGGAGAATGTATAAAGAAACAATTCCTTCATCCTAAAAAGATGGTGCAAAAATTAATAAATAAATTGAACAAGTTATATAGAGAATGGATATCATATCAAACGAGATAATATTTGAGTGTAGAACACGCACAAAAAAAAAAAAGTGAAACGGGTAAACAACTGAAAAATGATGAAACTGATTGTCCATCTTTAATTTAAGATGATGAGAATCGCTACAATGATGTAAGAGAGATCAATTGGAGAAACGAAAATGATTTAAGAAAGATTAATATGAGAAAAAATTATTAATTATATTTTTAGATGAAAGATCTCAAAAAACGGGTGTAGTAAAGAATACAAATACGAATATTTTTATTATAGCTGGAGAATGTATAAAGATATACTTCCTCCATCCTAAAATCATGGTGAAAAATTAATGAATAAATTAAACGAGTTATATAAAGAATGGATATTACATTAAATGTGATAATATTTGAATACAAAACATGCCAAAAAAAATCTGAAATAAGTAACACGGCTAAAATAGCTGAAAAATGGATAAATAATATTGTCCATCTTTTATTTAAAAAGTTGAGGATCACTACAATGATGTAAGACAGATCAAATGGAGGCACGAAAATGATTTAAGAAAGATTAACAGGGAAAAAAAACTTCTCCATTATATTTTTAGGTTAAAGATCTCAGAATTCGGATGGAGTAACTAATTTAAATAAAAAGTTTTTTATGCAGGAAAAATTATAAAGAAATAAATCCTACATCCTAAAAATTATTGAATAAATTCAACGATTTATATAAAGAATAGATATTTGATAACAGTAAAATATATACCCTTTTAACAGGCATTTCTTACTCATTTCTACTTATCATTTAGTGTCAATTAGTTAGAATTAGTTTACCTTTGGGGTGATTTTGCAGTTCAGGTATCTTAGAGGGCAATGTGGAAAATTAGCATAAATGAGGCCAAATTACACAAAAAGACATCAGAAAGGACTGGAATGGGACCTACTGGAAATTAGACTGTTGGAAGGATGATCAGAGCTGGAGCAAGTAGAGAAATCCTTGTTGAGGAAGGAAGATTGGCAGCAGGTGTTCACCACTTGGAAGAATCTGCAGCAACACACTCAATTGAGAGGAAGAAGGGCAGCTGCCCTGCTGCCAAATTGCTGCTGCAGTAGCTGTTGCTGTTGTCAATCAAAGAGAAGCCACAAGCTGAAATCTAGGTGCCCAAGGAAGGAAATTGCTTTGCCATCACTGCAAGTTGTTGCTGTTGCAAGTGGAAGAAGAGAAAGAGGGAGAATATGTAATAAGCAGCAGCTGCAACTCTGCTACTTACCCACTGATGCTGCTACTTTGTTGATGGATTGGCTGCTGCAGAAGGGTGAGCAGTAGCATAGCAAGTGATCCAAGAAATAAGGAAGAAAATGGCAG